TGAAGGCTGCTGTTGTTTTTATTTCTGGGATGTTTCTCCAACCCGGGCTTCTCTTCTTGTGCTCTAAGACACAAATTTGCAATCATATGTTTGTAGGCTATCTCACATAGATGTCCTATAGCTATCACCAACACAAATAAAGAACAAATTTATCTCCTTCAGCTCACAGACTAGCCCTCCCTCTGTGTTTCCCATCTCCGTTAACAGAGAACCATCACACCATTGACATGTCGATGCTTAGGAGGCATCTTTCCTCTTTCTGTTTTACTTTCCATCATATCTAGTTAGGCTAACAAGTTTTACAAATTTGATTTCTAAAATGTTTTTCAGTTCAGTTCTCTCCTTCCAAAAGGGACTTTGGATTCTGACAGTAGTGCCTACCCCAAGTGTTGTTGTGAGAATTATATGGTATAGGGTATAGATATTGCCTAGCAGAGTGCTTTGGATATAATAGGTCTTCAGTTGCTCTTAGTTCTCTTCCCTCTCCACTGCCTTAAATTAGACCCATGCTTACTTTGATATAATACCAAGTCTGTTGGCTGCTAATATTTTCAACTTCCAATTAGAACTTTTCTTTCCCCTCCCATCCATTTCTCCTTCCCTCACTACTTTCCTTTCCCATTTTTGTTTTAAAAAGGGTTTATGTCTACTCACCTCTTTATACTCCTCCTTCTCCCAGATAGCAGTTACGTTCAGAAATATTCCTTACAAGGTCACTCAAGTAGATTGAATTGTTGTTCTCAATGCTCTGCTTTCTTCCTAAATTAGAGCTATGCCCCTGTGCTCTTTGCCAAGGTTTCTGCATTGTATTCTGCTGCTGGCTGGAGTAAGTTCTCCATCCCATTGATGTTGTCCATGTACTTGCTTGGACAATGGAATAAGTGGAAGTGTCAGTGTGGCATAGATCGGGTCTCTGTGCTACTCTGATCTATTCATCCTTTTGTATTCTTAGGCTCTTCCACAAGAATAACAAGTGCTGAGTAGTTGCATAACTGCTGGCCCAGAAGAAAGATGAAGACTTACGGGGCAAACCTAAATCTAATCCAAAGCTTGGAGTCTACCCTAGTTCAATGAAGATCAGGCATGAAATATCTTTCTATTTCTTTGTGTTACCTTCACTTTCTTTCAACAATGTCTTATAGTTTTTACCGAACAGATCTTTTACTCCTCGGTTAAATTTATTCCTAGGGATTTTATTCTTTTTGTTGTGATTGTGAATGAAATTGCTTTCTTAATTAATTTTTGTCATGAATGTATAGAAACAAGAGCTTTTTTTATTGTTTGTACCCTGCAACTTTATTGTATTTGTTTATTATTTCTAATAATTTTTTTGTTGGAGTCTTTAGGGTTTTGTATATATAAAGTCATGCCATCCACAAGTATTGACAGTTTTACTTCTTATTTGCCAATCTGAATGCCTTTTATTTTTTTCTCTTGTCTAATTACTCTGGTTAGGACTTCCAATACTAGGTTGGATAAAAATGGTAAGAGTGGGCATCCTGATCTTAGAGGAAAAGCTTTCAGTTTTTCATCATTGAGTATCTTAGCTGTGTGGAACAACAAATCATTTGTCCTATATAGCCTTTATTGTGTTGAGGTACTTTCCTTTTATAGTGATTTTATTGAGAGTTCTTATTTATCATAAATAGATATTGAATACTGTCAAATGCTTTGTCTGCATCTAGTGAAATTATTGTATACATTTAATCCTTCATTTCATTAACATGGCATATCACATTGATTGATTTGCAGTTATTGAACCATCCATGTACCCTGGAATAAATCCCATTTTATCTTGGTATATGATTCTTTTAATGTATTGTTGTATTCAGTTTACTAATATTTTGTTGAGGATTTTTGCATCTATGTCCATCAGCGATATTGGTCTGTAATTTTCTTCTTTGTGTTGTCCTTGTTTGGTTTTGGTATCATGGTAATGTTGGCCTCTCAACATGAGTTGGGAAGTATTCCCTCCTCTTTAATTTTTTTGGGAGAGTTTGAGAAGGTTAGGTATT